AGCGGTCCAGCTTCAGTTCCAACCCCCGCCTCATCTTCACATAGACCCAGCCACAATGGGTGCTCATGGCACCGTGCCCTCAATGTCACGTCTCATTGACCTACCCCAATTTCGACTTCGTCGTCGATCTGCGCAAGCGCCTCAACGCTGTCCACTGGCCCCTGATCGGAAGCCCAGGGGCTCAACACCCCCGGGTACGTCCACAAAACGGCCAACGAGGGCCTTCCGACTGCGGCTTACAGGACGGCTCTCAAGGTAAGACATGCAAGCCAACAGCATATATACATAGGAAAGATTAGTGTTTTTGATCACAGGAACCACTACTTAATTAATTAAATCTATTCTCCATCCTCCTTTGAGATTTCAATATGTCCTTATATTTGGAATATTGACAGAATACTTTCGGAGAACTAGGTTCCTGTGGACGTTTGATGGACTTGGGGAGATTCTACGATCCTTCACACGTATAGGACCACGTGAGATCGGTACCTGATGAAGGCTCCTAGTAGTTGATATGTTTAACCGGAATGGCTGCGGGATTTATTAGCTGTCACCTTTTATCTGTTCGGCACTATTGACTGGATTCTCGGAAGGCACATGCATGGTTTTGGGAATGCTCAGTTCTGGGCCTGGGTATCGAATGACTGATCTACTCTACGCTGATCACATCAATCTGCTTTGATTATATACAGACTGTGGTGTCGCGATGAACGAGGATATTAGGTCGGTCGGTTTATCCAAAAACGATGGAAAGGGCTTTTAAACTGCCTCTCCGTTCAAAAGGGACCACCCCTCGACGTTGAAAGTTGCCAAATTGAAGTAAACAGTTTCAAATACCTGCCCACTGGACAGAGTAAGCACGATATCGTCTCACAAATTAATGTTGCTCGCAGTGGTTTCAAAATGTCGCTTCAGCGCAACATCGCCAGTGTCACGATTCGTGTGTACCGAGCATTCTTCTAATCGGTCCTATTATACGGTTATGGATGTTAGACTGTTCACGTTATAAATAAGCCTGAAGAACATATTTTGAGTGAAATACACTAAATTTGTCTCAGATGAGGCACTACACACTCGCTGCGACGAAATCAGAAGCATATCGCACACTGGTACCGTGTGGCAACCCTTCTCGTAATTTGCCTCATCAGCTCAGTATCATTTCCCTTGATTCGGCATTAGAATTCGCCTGCAGGCGTCAAAGAGAGGATCAACTGAAAACCTAGCTCAACATAGTTCTCCAAAACCTGAAGATGGTTCTTCGATTTGCTGTATTCTGTTTCTAACAGCGACGGAGAGAATAGGTTATGATCTCTAGGTCCGTTGCAGCAGAATTGTGGCAAAATATTCGTTGGTACATAAAAATGACGGTTGTAAATATTAGGCTTCTTGTAAAACATAATATCTGATAAAATGAATCGTGTAGAAACCGGTCATGTTAGTAGATAAACTGACGTGCGTTAGATATTTAAGCAGGAATATATTTCCATTTACCTCCGTTTTCCCTATTACATGCAGGACCTGGGGAGATAAATAAAATGTAGAGATTTAAATTTAGTCATTCAAATTTGTTTCGGTAATGGAAGTCGGATTTCATGAAAGATGGACGGCCTTCTCGAGCAGCCTGCTGGTTTCCTCTCGGTGACGGTTTGATCAGTGTTTGTAACATCCATCCTAGCGCTTTCATACCCGCAAGATGGTGTGAACAGCAATGACTGATCATGTAGCACAAAGGCTCGATTGCACTGCATATCTCAGTAGCCTTAATTCATAATTCATTTGAATTTAGTTAACACACTAATTGAAAAAAGCTCCGCGGCCTCCACCAGTCCGTAGAAAATTCTGTTTCGGCAGTCAGCTTACTGTATCAGAATTTCAGCAGGCTGGGCGGGTAACTTGTCCCAAATGTGATTCAACACACGACTCCCGACGGGAACTCCTAGCTTGCGTATACTGTACTCAATCCTTGCTGTCGTTGGCTCGAATCCCACCGAAATCACCGGGTTTTACACAATTCAGTCAAATAAATTAGTAAAATCGGCCAACACGTATATTAGTTTGCTATTCTTTTATCACAGTCCACACGAACGAGGTATGGAGCCAACGACAGACGCCCAATGATTTCCGATGAAAAAAACAGCTGAACGTATCATTCTTGTCCGTGCATATGGCTTATTTTAAGACCTCATTTAAGACGGTAATAGTTGCTTAGGCGAGAGCGAATATTAGGAAATATCTACAGACTGGACCGGGGAGAAGTTCTAACTCCTCTGGCCATTGGTGGTGAATCCAATTAGCACCTCAAAAC